AATTCTCAAGTATACAGTGCATTCGGAAAGTATTCAGACCCCTTGACTTTTTCCACATTTTGTTACGTTATAGCCTTATTCTAAAATGGATTAAAAAAATGTTTCCCCCTCATCAATCTACACACAATACCCCATAATGACAAAGCAAAAATAGGTTTATAGAAATGTTTGCAAATTTATGGAAATATCACATTTACATAAGTATTCAGACCCTTTACACAATACTTTGCTGACGCACCTTTGGCAGTGATTACAGCCTTGAGTCTTCTTGGGTATGACGCTACAAGTTTGGTACACCTGTATTTGGGGAGTTTCTCCCATTCTTCTCTGCAGATCCTCTCAAGCTCTGTCAGGTTGGATGGGGAGCGTCGCTGCACAGCTATTTTTTGGTCTCTCCAGAGATGTTCGATCGGGTTCAAGTCCGGACTCTGGCTAGGCGACTCAAGAACATTCAGAGACTTGTCCGAAGCCACTCCTACATTGTCTTGGCTGTGTGCTTAAGGTCATTGTCCTGTTGGAAGGTGAACCTTCGCCCCAGTCTGAGGTCCTGAGCGCACTGGAGCAGGTTTTCATCAAGGATCTGTCTGTACTTTGCTCCATTAATCTTTCCCTCGATCTTGACTAGTCTCCCAGTCCCTGCCGCTGAAAACATCCCCACAGCATGATGCTTCCACCACCATGCTTCACCGTAGGGATGGTATTGGCCAGGTGATGAGTGGTGCCTGGTTTCCTCCAGACGTGAAGCTTGGCATTCAGGACAAAGAGTTCAATCTTAGTTTCATCAGACCAGATAATCTTGTTTCCCATGGTCTGAGAGTCCTTTAGGTGCCTTTTGGCAAACTCCAAGCGGGCTATCGTACATTTTCCTGAGGAGTGGCTTCAGTCTGGCCACTCTACCATAAAGGCCTGATTGGTGGAGTGCTGCAGAGATGGTTGTCCTTCTGGAGGGTTCTCCCATCTCTACAGCGGAAATCTAGAGCTCTGTCAGAGTGACCATTGGGTTCTTGGTCACCTCCCTGACCAAAGCCCTTCTCCCCCAATTGCTCAGTTTGGCCGGGCGGCCAGCTCTAGGAAGAGTCTTGGTGGATCCAAACTTCTTCCATTTAAGAATGATGGAGGCCACTGTATTATTGGGGACATTCAATGCTGCAGCAGTTTTTAGGTACCCTTCCACAGATCTGTGCCTCGACATAATCCTGTCTCGGAGCTCTACGGACAATTCCTTCGACCTCATGGCTTGGATGTTGCTGACATGCACTGTCAACTGTGGGACCTTATATAGACAGGTGTGTGCCTTTCCAAATCATGTCCAATCAATTGAATTTACCACCGGTGGACTCCAATCAAGTTGTAGAAACATCTCAAGGATGATCAATGGAAACAGGATGCACCTCAGCTCAATTTCGAGTCTCAAAGCAAAGGGTCTGAATACTTTTTAATAAATTTGCCAACATTTCTAAAACCTGTTTTCGCATTGTCATTATGGGGTATCGTGTGCAGATTGATGAGGGAAAAAAAATGTATTTAATCAAATTTTAGAATAGGCCATAACGTAACACAATGTGGAAAGGGGTCTGAATACTTTCCGAATGCACTGTACTTAAAATATGAATTGATCATTGAAGAATGTAACTTGTGCCCAGTCAGAAATTGTAATAAACAACATTGTAAACTTGCATTTTGGTCCAGTGGATGTTTTTTTATTTTTTATATTTCCCTTTATTACTTTCCAACCCCACCACCCCTTCCCTAATTGGAGTAAACTAGTGAACAACAATGCTTAGGCCTCTACTTCCAGCTTATACATACTATATACATTTTATGGACACAGAATTATTGTAAAATTGACTATTTTGTTTGTTTTTACTCCTGAACTTCCTCTACCCTCAACCTCTCCGATCATTTTCATGATGTCCATCCGGTTTGCTTCTATATGTCATATATTTCTAACTGTGCTCTTTCACAAAAGCGCTCAACCTATAACCTATATACTTATTATGGACACAGTATGCTTACGTTATTAGTTATCTTGTTGTTATTAGTTGTTGTTAGTTGTTATTAGTCCCATCCTTCAGCTCCATTCAACACCACCCATCTATCTCTTAACACCATCCATATAGGATTTCTATTTGCCATATATTTTTCAACTGTACTGTGATGTTTTACAAAAGTTCTGAACCTTTCTATTCTCATTGTTCCTACAGATTGTAAATTGAAAATATATTTTTTTGCTAAAAGTATTATTATATTATTGATCGATTGACTATGACTTTTCAGATCACCCAGTAATGCTATCTGCAGGGTTAGCTCCAGGTAAATTTTGCAATCCTGTGGATGGTCTTTGTGGCTGTCTGTGAATGTGAGAGTGGTTGCATTTCTCCACCCTCATCCCCTGGCTGTTTACAGGAACAATGGCAGAGTGTCCACTTTGTTCCTGTATTAGCTACAGATTGCCCCTTTAACCTTTAACCTAACTTTCTGCCCAGTGTGGGATTAACTTGTCTAAAGTATGGTATCTTTATAGTTTTGTGTTTGTGATTTGTATTTAAAACTTAATAAACAGAGTTTTCCAACAACAACAAAAACACAAATTACTTTTTAATGTGTTTTTTTTTCTTCTCAGAAATAAAAGCCATACAATAAAGCAAATTAAAATGCATATAGTTCTGTACAGGCACAGAAGCCCATTCATTCACACATTCTAAGTCCAGGCTATTTCCTCAAAGTGGCCACATGTACATCAGAAGAGACTTCTTACGCGCCAAACAATGAGACTGACATTCGTTTTGTGGTAGAGGGGGATTTACCCAACATGCATTTCTCACACGTTTCTCATAGAAAAATGCAGAATCCACCATGCTTTTGCCACATTTAGTGTTACAGTTGTGAGACTCATCAAAATAATAAATACGATTAAATTTAAAATGGAGGGATTCTCATTGAAGAAGAATGAACAGTTTGATGTTTGAATGGAACAAGTACAGACTCCATGGGAGAAGACAGTGGAGCTTAAAGCTTAAACACAAAAGACCCAGTTGATACAAAATATTAAGAGGTAACAGAAGTGGACATGCAAACATTTACTGTGTATTTTGACATGACAGAATGCCATTTATAAGTGCTAGTTTTTTTTTTCTCACTGGAGTAGGTTTGACCATTGAGATTCGGCTAACCTGCTCCAAACAGAATCAAATTGAATAAGGACATTCATAAAATGATAACGGCCAAAAAATTGACATAATATTTGTCTTCCTTATTCAGAAAATAATCATTTAAACTCAGCCATTTGAGTCTTGCTAGTCCATTGAAGGTAATTGCTGAAATCACAGTTAAAACACTGTAGTAAAAACACAATTGGTAGTCAAACTTTGGTTCACCACACGATGGCAGTAGGCCCTACATAACAACATTAATAATTGCTCAAGAGATAATATGGTGGTCCTTCACTAAACCTGTGATGTTAGATAGAGGAAGTAGTCACGGAAAGAATATCTCGCCTCCAAACACGCAGCGAACATACAACTACACATAGATGCATTGATATTTCACATGACAACGTTTAAGTGTTTAACTCTGACCTTTCCATTTTAGGCAGGTTTATTTTGACAAAAACTTAAAATGTTGGCACAATTTTTTGCAACAAAGAACTTTCCTAGACGCTCTTTCTCCCCCCCCCCCACCAAAGGCTGCTTCATACAAAGACTCATAACGTCAACAAAGTAATGCAGTGATTTTTTTTTTTAACAAAGCTTTAAAATACATACACTTTACACCATTTATTTAGATGCAGTTCAAAGTCTCATGAAATCTTAGCCAAAGTACAGTCAATTTATTTGACACTCAGTATATCTTGATGTAGAGTAGACTATATATGTAAATGTTGATATATGAGTTAACAGAGTGACAGAGCAAAAAAATAAATATATTTTTTGAAGTTTTATATATATGTATATTTGTATGTATATAGCTTACTTGTGGGTATGATGTGGGTGTTACACGTTTGACAGGCTGATCTGTAAAGATAGTGGCATCTCTCGATCTTTACTGGGATGGTTGCAGGGGGAGAATATAGAGAGAGTTCTATGCTGTAGCAGTATCAATGTGGACTTAAGCTCTCGTTGCCCAAACCCCTCCGCCCTTCAAAAATCAGCAGTGAACTCTGACCTTCCATGATGTTCATACATGCACAGCGGATTGGAGTGGCAGTTTTTCAATGATAGTCAATGGTAGACACAAAAAGGGGAACCAATCAGCCAAAACAAAATGTATATATAGAGAGGTGCATTGCAGGTTGGTCTAGAAGGGTGACGCCAGCTGCCAGCGTCATTACACGGTTTTAATACCCCTCTGTAGGTGAATAGTTGGACCAAACTGGACAAGCTTCTATCTATCCTCCCTCCTTCAACCGTTAAAAAGAGGAGGGGAAAAGAAGGTAGAAGTCGGAGGAGGAGACTAGGACAGATGTGTTCTGTTGTTCTGAAGAGAACAGCTTTGTTCTTTCTTTTCTTTCTTTACTGAAAGCTCTTTAAAAGAAATCCACCAACAACAACAATTTTAGGCCCCAAGTCATCCACACCCTACCCAGAGAGCACTCTGTGATATTTACATTGATTCAACTCGCCAGCGTGCAAAAATACTGGAATACGGTTTGCAAAGAAAGCAAAGATGCAAACTCTTTAGGAATAAATATATAAATACAGTATGTACTTGTATATAGAAAGAACATAAAATGTATTTTTTTTTTTTTTTTTTTTTTTTTACAAAATATCATTTCTAGCATACCTTCCGACAGTGACATATTCGCTGCTTAAAAAAAATCTTTGGTTGACCAGTCCAAACGCCTGATAGCATAACACCCTCCTTTACATCACACAACTTTACTTCTTCTTCTCTTTTTACGCATCATGCTCACTGACATCAACACTGACATCATTTCCTCTTCCTGTTCTTGTGCTACCCTGCTAGAGATCACAATGGCCTCCCATAGCCAACATCCCACATCCCACACAGCCACACCCCACAAACTGCACTTCCTCTATCCCTCTAATTAGCGCCACGAAGGAGTCCTTCCAAGAAGAAACACACACACGTACGCGCACATTACGCACACACACACACACACACACACACACACACACACACACACAGGTAAAAGACAAGATCAGAAGGAAAGAGGTGACACAAGATTAAACGCAGAACACAAACTAATAAAAATAGGACATATATTTCCTCCGTAGTTAAAAATAACAACAAAAAAACGAAAAAAAAGCCAGTGGTCACCAAAAGGTCAGCTCATCGTTTCTGTGAGCCGATCATCACCTTGGAGACAAAGTTGACGATGGCGCTGGCGGGTTGATCGGGGTCCATCTCGGCAAAGAGGTGACTGACGTTGTCAGTTGTGCTTCCTTGCTTCCGAGCCACGAACCCAAAGAACCTGGAAAAGGGAAGGGAAGCTGTCAATGTCTTTTATCGGCTTGTTCTAACCAGTCAAAGGGGACTAATCTGTAGGAAATCATATGAATCATAGATGAAAAGTGTGTGTGTGTGAGTGTGTGACCAAATGGGTTTGAACCTTGGTTGTCTTCATGCTACAAGACTATTTTAGCCTGCTGAGCTAAAGCCTATTACCTCAGGCCTTAGGCAAGGTTACTCATCACTTGAGCTGGTTCACTCAAACACATCCATTATCATTCATGCTTTACTGTAACCATTAAGAGATATTGTTTTGCTAAATTGTTTGTTTTCCATCTCTATAGTTCCATGGTTAGTCTCTAGGGGACGCTCCATGCCACTGTTACCATTTGGGATTACTTAGGGTCAAATTCAATCCAAATTCGGCGAAGTTCGGCTACATTTCTGATTGAGCCGACATATGCAGCGTTTACCGAGAATGCAGTCTCCGCGAACAGGTGAATATCGCCTTTAGATTTCAATCACGCTATAGAGCTGAACATTAGGGATACGGATTGAATAGAACCCTGTCTTTATGCTGTAACCAGGGCCTGAAACTAACTTTGGGGAAGAAATTCACCTGCCACTTGGTTGGACCTTTTTATAAAAATTTTTGCCCTGGCTGTAATGATAAATATCTTCCAGTAATGATAATGATATTTTGTCTACTTGACTTACTCTACTGCCTTTTAGACCATATGAGTTTATACAATTGAGTCCCTAAGTCTCATAACAGTAAATTCATAGGTACTATGATCCCTGAGTTTAAAACCCCAAACCAGGACATGCTATAAATTCTAAACTCGTGACTGCCAACACTGTGCTTTGTTGGCTAAAGGGGCTCTCTTTTATCCTCAGCCCAGTCATCTCTCCATCCATCTATTCCTCCTCTCTGAATCATTGGTGGGGAGCTTTCATCCCTTCTTCTTTCCGCTGGTTTAATGTCTGAACTCCTAAATATCACCTTTTATTTGATTTAGGATGGAGGAGAGCACTAATTGAAATCACATGGGCCAATGTATTAGGGGCAGGTCAGGAACTGATGGTAAGTCTGCCTGAGTGACTAGTTTCCCTCCAAAGAACCATTGTGGTCAAGTTCAACAACTGATTTGGAATCAGATCTAACTACCCCTAGTTCTAACCGGTGCCATTAGGTGCTTAACATCAAAACCATCCTTGGACCAGTTGCTGAAAGTATCAAGCGCTTCCACCGGTTCGCTAGGTTGCTTCACTTTCTTCAGTGGCAAACGTTGCTCTGCAACTCTCAGTCAAAGTAAAGTTGGGCTATCTATAAACAGTACAGACAGAAACACACTAGGACTAGGTGTATGTTACTCAGGTGTACTGTATACTTACTTGGCTGTGCCCCCATCAGGTTTGTTCCACCTGTAGAGGGTTAAATAAACACTATGATATCATGTAACATTATGTATGATATATTCATGACATATAATATTATGAGGTCATTCATTTCAAACAGCAATGTGTGTGTGTGTGTGTGTGTGTGTGTGGTGTGTGTGTGTGTGTGTGTGTGTGTGTGTGTGTGTGTGTGTGTGTGTGTGTGTGTGTGTGTGTGTGTATGTGTGTGTGTGTGTGTGTGTGCGTGTGTGTATGTGTGTATGTGTGTGTGTGGGTGTGTGTTGTAGCTCAGTGTGGACACTCACTTTCTCTCCTGAGGGTCGACATCACAAAATGTGACGGTGTTGACAGGGTAGTGGCGCCGGAAGAAAAGCCTGTAGGGTAAAAACAGGGTTTAGCACACTACACTACAGCAACGCAAGTTGGATTGAATAATGCCCTCGGTCAGAGTGAGCCGTACCTGGAAGTCACTTGCAAATATTGTTATTATGGTACAAATATTGTTGAGCAGTTTTAAAAATGCAATATACAGTCTTGTACAGTGATGTAGTGGTAAAAAAATAGGTTGGTAAACTCTGATCGCCGGGTCGTGGTGAAAAAAGTAATGCTACCTATACTTCTAATGCATTTTTCCGCAAAAAGTGGGTAAACTGTCCCGCAAAATAAGGTGGGTAAACTGTTCCGTAAAAAAAGGTGGGTAAACTGCATTTACTTGCATTTCCCCTCCACTACACCACTGGTCTTGTAGTAATACTTTATAAATGCCTGTTTGTCCTACTCACTTCCTCTGGTTGTCCGTCAGGGTGATGCCTTGGGGCGACACCTTGAAGTGCACGACGGTGGCGGTGGGCGGAGACGCGGCGGCCATCGTCTCCGAGATCGCCTTGGCGATGGCCTGAGGTCCCGTCAGAGACTCCATGTCCACCGAGTTAATGTACAGCACATTGCACGCTGGAAAAAAAAAAAAGAGAGAGGTGTAGCCAATCAGCACAGTGCATTTCACACTGGAAAGAAGAGAGAGGTCAAAGAGCAGAGAGATGATGTCATGGGCTGTCTGCTTCTACAACACGTATGGTTTGGTTGTAGTGCTTCCTGTTGTGACGTGACATGATCAACAGTTTACAATTGTTTCATTTATAGGATGTATCATGTATGCTTAAGATCAGAGAAACATGGAATAATCTATTACAAAGCGCTATTCATCAAAATGTACACTGAGTGTACAAAACATTAAGAACACCTTCCTAATATTGAGTTGCACCCCCTTTTGCCCTCAGAACAGCCTCAATTCGCCGGGGTATGGACTCTACAAGGTGTCGAAAGTGTTCCATAGAGATGCTGGCCCATGATGACTCCAATGCTTCCCACAGTTGGGTCAAGTTGGATGGATGTCTTTTGGGTGGTGGACCATTCTTGATACACACGGGAAACTGTTGAGCGTGAAAAACCCAGCAGCGTTGCAGTTCTTGACACACTCAAACTCAAGCCTGGCACCTACTACCATACCCTGTTCCAAGGCACTTAAATCTTGTCTTGCCCATTCACCCTCTGAATGGCACACATACACAATCCATGTCTCAATTGTCTAAAGGCTTAAAAATCCTTCTTTAACCTGTCTCCTCCCCTTCATCTACACTGAGTGAAGTGGAATTAACAAGTGACATCAATAAGGGATCATAGCTTTCACCTGGATTCACCAGGTCAGTCTGTCATGGAAAGAGCAGGTGTTCCTAATGTTTTGTACACTCAGTATATACAGTTGAAGTCGGAAGTTTACATACACCTTAGCCAAATACATTTAAACTCAGTTTTTCATAATTCCTGACAATTAATCCTAGTAAAAATTCCCTGTCTTAGGTCAGTTAGGATCACCACTTTATTTTAAGAATGTGAAATGTCAGAATAATAGTAGAGAGAATGATTTATTTCAGCTTTTATTTCTTTCATCACATTCCCAGTGGGTCAAAAGATTACATACACTCAATTAGTATTTGGTAGCATTGCCTTTAAATTGTTTAACTTGGGTCAAACGTTTTGGGTAGCCTTCCACAAGCGTCCCACAATAAGTTGGGTGTATTTTGGCCCATTCCTCCTGACAGAGCTGGTGTAACTGAGTCAGGTTTGTAGGCCTCCTTGCTCGCACACGCTTTTTCAGTTCTGCCTACACATTTTCTATAGAATTGAGGTCAGGGCTTAATGATGGCCACTCCAATACCTTGACTTTGTTGGGGTCATTGTCCATTTGGAAGACCCATTTGCGACCAAGCTTTAACTTCCGGACTGATGTCTTGAGATGTTGCTTCAATATATCCACATAATATTCCTTCCTCATGATGCCATCTATTTTGTGAAGTGCACCAGTCCCTCCTGCAGCAAAGCACACCCACAGCATGATGCTGCCACCCCTGTGCTTCACGGTTGGGATGGTGTTCTTCGGCTTGCAAGCATCCCCCTTTTTCTTCCAAACATAACGATGGTCATTATGGCCAAACAGTTCTATTTTTGTTTCATCAGACCAGAGGACATTTCTCCAAAAAGTACGATCTTTGTCCCCATGTGCAGTTGCAAACTGTAGTCTGGCTTTTTTATGGCGGTTTTGGAGCAGTGGCTTCTTCCTTGCTGAGCGGCCTTTCAGGTTATGTCGATATAGGACTCGTTTTACTGTGGATATAGATACTTTTGTACCGGTTTCCTCCAGCATCTTCACAAGGTCCTTTGCTGTTGTTCTGGGATTGATTTGCACTTTTCGCACCAAAGTACGTTAATCTCTAGGAGACAGAACACGTCTCCTTCCTGAGCGGTATGACGGCTGTGTGGTCCCATGGTGTTTATACTTGCATACTATTGTTTGTACAGATGAACGTGGTACCTTCAGGCATTTGGAAATTGCTCCCAAGGATGAACCAGACTTGTGGAGGTCTACAATTTTTTTTCTAAGGTCTTGGCTGATTTCTTTTGATTTTCCCATGATGTCAAGCAAAGAGGCACTGAGTTTGAAGGTAGGCCTTGAAATACATCCACAGGTGCCCCTCTAATTGACTCAAATGATGTCAATTAGCCTATCAGAAGCTTCTAAAGCCATGGCATCACTTTCTGGAATTTTCCAAGCTGTTTAAAGGCACAGTCAACTTAGTGTATGTAAACTGACCCAATGAAATTGTGATACAGTGAATTATAAGTGAAATAATCTGTCTGTAAACAATTCTTGGAAAACGTACTTGTGTCATGCACAAAGTAGATGTCCTAACCGACTTGCCAAAACTCTAGTTTGTTAACAAGAAATTTGTGGAGTGGTTGAAAAACGAGTTTTAATGACTCCAACCTAAGTGTATGTAAACTTCTGACTTCAACTGTATATATAGGGTCCCGTTTGGCTCAGTTGGTATAGCATGGCGCTTACAACGCCAGGGTTGTGGGTTCAATTCCCTCGGGGGACTAGTATGAAAATGTATGCACTCACTACTTTAAGTCACTCTGGATAAGAGCGTCTGCTAAAGGACTACAAATAAATGTACTATATAGCACAGCAGTTTATAGCTTTGAAAATCATTGACATGTAAAAGGCAATACAGTACATTCTTGACAATTTCCAATGCAGTTAAGGGAGTTAATTTCATACATATCACATTGGTACTAGTGGGTTTAAAGTTCTGCATTTCTGCACACATGCTAAAAAAGAGGCATTGCATTTTCATACAAGACAGTTCCATTGCTCTAAGGACAGTACATGCTTTCTGGGACAAGGCTGCATGGGAGAAAAGACTCTCAGGGGTCAAAACCATTCAGTCATTGGACAGAAAACATTTCAGGCATTGTTAGCATTGTTGTTGTCTATTAGATGGAGGAAGAGACAAACACAGAGACTTCTCAGGCAGACGTCAGGGATCTGGGTCAGAATGCAGCAGTCAGGGACCAACAGTCTCATAACAGGAAGGAAAACTAAAATGAAAGGACACATGATTTACCATGGGAGTCAGCAGGGGCTCTCTGCCCTATAGTGACACGGAGGTGACATCACCAGTGTGGGGAGAACAGTGGAATGGTTTAGAGTACGTCACAACAAACTAACAAACTAACAAAAGTCATTTAGATGACCTTTCCATTACATAGAAAAGTGCTCAACCAAACCCAATGGTCAACACAATGATATGCTGCCTCTAACCTGCTCCTTGCTTGAGGAGGTTGTCAGCCGGGTTGGTTGGCGTGGCGATATCTGGGACATCCTGGTGGAGATCTGAAACACAGCAGGAGATGATTCAGAAGAAATTCCCCACCCCAAATTGTATGTATCCATTCAAAATTACACAAACACGCAGACACACACACACACACACACACACACAGGTGCAGACGCACTCCTGGCCTCACCTCTGGTAGGGATGACCAGTTTACAGGGGAGAGCCTGTGGAGTCATGGCATGCTGGTACACCAGAGCGGACAGACAACCTACACGAACACACACACACACACACACACACACACACACACACACACAAAGAGAGATTAGTATTAGTTGTGCCAACAGGACAACAATTCTATAAAGATTACATATCCTCATCAAGTCATGTGGATCACACACCCTGGACCCACACTCCCCCCATACCATACCCACACTCCCCCCATACCATACCCACACTCCCCCCATACCATACTCACACACACCCATACCCACACTCCCCCGATACCATACCCACACTCCCCCATACCATACCACACACACCCATACCCACACCCCCCGATACCAACCCACACTCCCCCAGACCAGACCCACACCACCCCAGACCAGACCCACCACCAGCCCAGACCACACGCACCCCAGACCCACACGCCCCCCAGACCAACCCACACGCCCCCAGACCAGACCCACACGCACCCCAGACCCACACGCACCCCATACCAGACCCACACCCCCCCAGACCCACAGCACCCCAGACCCACACCCCCCCAGACCCACACGCCCCCCAGACCAGACCCACACCAGCCCATACCCACACGCCCCCCAGACCCACACGCCCCCCAACCAACCCACACCAGCCCATACCCACACCAGCCCAACCCACACGCCCCCAGACCCACACGCCCCCCAGACCCCCCCCGCCCAGCATACCCACACGCTCCCAGACCAGACACAAGCACCCCATACCACACGTCACCCAACCACACTCCCCCAGACCCACACGCCCCCAGACCAGACCCACAGCAGCCAGAACATACACAACGCACCCCCAGACCACATACCACACTCACCCCATACCCACAACCCCAAGGAACCACACTCACCCAACACCAAATCACCCAGACCTCCACACACACCCAGACCACACCACCCCAGACACACTATACCAACCAACACACACCCCATAAAACAGCCACACCACCCCAACCAGACTCCCCATACCATACCCACACTAACACCCCATACCATACTCACACACACCCCATACCCTACCATACTCACACACACCCTATACCCTACTACCCACACACACCCAGCGTCTCAATTCAACTTCCATCCCTCCCTTTAGAACATCATTCATTAAGTCTAGTTTCGGGGATAAGGTTTCTTCAAGAAGCCCATTTATAAACTGATGCTGTCTGACTGGTTCAGTTAACTCTAACTGTGTGCTTGGGCCAGTAGCCATCTCCCTGTGGTTCCCAGCAAGAAGAGACTGATACGTGCATACGGTGTCTTCAGAAAGTATTCACACCCCTTGGTTTTTTCCACATTTTGTTGTGTTACAGCCTGAATTTAAAATGGATTAAATTAAGATTTTGTGCCCCTGATCTAGACACAAAGTGGAATTATGTTTTTAGAAATTAATAAAAAACGAAACGCTGAAATGTCTTGATTTAATACGCATTCAACCCCTTTGCCATAACGCAAGCCTAAATACATTCAGGAGTACAAATTTCTTTAACAAGTGACATAATAAGTTGCATGGACTCACTCTGTGTGCAATAATAGTGTTTAACATGCTTTTTGAATGACTACCTCATCTCTGTACCCCACACATACAATTATCTGTAAGGTCCCTCAGTCGAGTAGTGAATTTCAAATCGAGATTTGACACTTGGACCGGCTTGAGGAGAAAAGTGCTACAAAAAACGACCTTCATTTAACAACAGTTATAATGTGGGAGGGAAGGGAGCTAGCTACCAGACCTGGGTTCAAATACTATTTGAAATCCTTGTAAATACTTTAAAGCATACCAGTCTGGCATTCCAGGCAGGCTAAAGCAAATGCAAAAGTATTTGAAAGGTTTCAAGTAGTATTTGAACCCACGCCTGGAGCTAGCTAGGCTAAAGCCAGACTCCCCTGCACCTTCTCAGAACGTTGCAGACCATAACCTTTGTACAGCAACTAACGCATGATCTAACGCATTGGCTCCTGTAGCCGGATGGAGCTGACGTAAGACACAGCCCTCTGGAAACATCCTATTTTTGATCATACTTTGGCACCCGGAGGATCTTTTGCTAAACACCTACACGTGCATACACACACACTGCTCGTCTCACACACACACACACACACTGTTCATCTCACACACACACACACACATGTAATGCGGTCTGTGGATGAAATTAGAGGGGGGAGCATTTGAACCGTACTAAACGACTTTGACTGATCCCATCCTATAATTAGGATTAAACGTGATGGGATGGGAGAACGGATGCTCTTTCAAAGATCGGGACAGGGAGAGCTCTGAGAGGGGATCAGTCATCAGACCAATACAGCCAAGAGTCAGTCACCACAACCACATCATGAAACTCATGTCTGGAGTTGACTCGTCCCCCGTTACTGTATCTGAGAAACATGCCATGCTGTTGTCAGAAAGAAGGGTTCTGATAGGTCTGAAAGAAAGATTATATCATCTCTAAAGTCCTTTCTTGACTCCGCCCATCCTCTCCTCACTTCCCTCTCAAAACGTCAGAGGGAGGATCTCCTCCTTCAATGCTCTCCTTGCCTCCCCTTGTGTGCGTGTGCATATGTGTGTGTGTGGGGGGTTAAAAGTGACTCACCAAAGTAAGGTTCGTTGGGACATCCTTTCAGCTTCACTCCCTTAGGACTCGTCTCAATCAGGAAGTGCCTCACCAGCTCGTTAGTGATGTCACCAGCTACAGGGGCCCCCAGAGGACAAACAATACAGCGGTGAACAACAACGCAGAGAGACCGTTATTAGTGGTATGTAGACATCACCTCATATGGGGAAGTATTATATAGTGTAGTTATTAGTAAGGATTTATTTCTTTACCCAGCCCGACAACAGGCCAAACCGGACACTAAAATATGATGGTTAATGGAATGTTCTAGGATGATCTAAGTGGCTATTTAAAACTGGCCTCTTGGCAGATAAATAAACTGTGTTTACATAGAACATTCTCCCCCCTTTGTGTGTGTGTGTGTGTGTTTGTGTGTGTGTGTGTGTGTGTGTGTGTTGTGTGTGTGTGTGTGTGTGTGTGTGTGTGTGTGTGTGTGTGTGTGTGTGTTGTGTGTGTGTGTGTGTGTGTGTGTGTGTGTGTGTGTGTGTGTGTGTGTGTTTGTGTGTGTAGGATACATTCCAATCCACTCCCAGCCCTTAGGAGCTAGCTCTTCTCTTCTAGGGAGTGTTCTCCACCATCAGTTACAGGGACAGTATGATGTTATATTATTAACCACTATATGGAAGATGGAGCCCAGTTGGTGATCCAGTACCTTTCTTGGACTGCTGTGCAGTAAGAGGAGGAGAGGCCACCTTCATGGCCAGGCCATAGGCCCCTCGGAAGGAGTGACTGTCACGGATGACAAAGGCCCCTGGCTCCCTCTCTCTCAGCAGGCCGATGGCTGCAATACACAATAACACATGATTCAATACAGTACCACTTCATGTATCCACTCAGGGGTAAGTAAGAAGGAGGAGAGGAGAAAGCGAAGAATATGTAGGAAGACATGGAAGATGAGGAGGGGGAAGGAGGAGAGCGGGAAGGAGGAGAGTGAGAAGGAGGAGGGGGAAGGGGAAGAGGGGGAAGGAGAAGGAGGATAGGGAGAAGGAGGAGGGGGTAGGAGGAGAGGGGGGAGAAGGAGGAGAGGGAGAAGGAGGAGGGGGGAAGGAGGAGAAGGAGAAGGAGGAGAGGGGAAGGAGGAGAGGGAGAAGGAGAAGGAGGAGAGGGGAGGAAGGAGGAGAGGAGGGAGAAGGAGGAGAGGGAGAAGGAGGAGAGGGGGAACGAGGAGGGAGAGGAGGAGAGGGGAGGAGAGGGAGAAGGAGAGAGGAGAGGAGGAGAGGGGGAAGGAGGAGAGGGGGAGGGATGGAGAGGGGGAAGGTAGGAGAGGGGAAGGAGAGAGGAAGGAAGGAGGGAGGAGGAAGGAGGAGAGGGGGAAGGGAGAGCAGGAAGGAGGAGGGAAGAGGACGAGGGGAAGGAGGAGAGGGGGAAGGAGGAGAGGAGGAAGGAGGAGAGGGGGAAGGAGGAGAGGAGGAAGGAGGGGAGGGGGAGTCTGAAACTTTCCTTGGAGAGGAGGACCTTTTGTGATCCCATATTTCAATGTAAGTACAGGGGAGAGCAGTGATCTGTTGTCTGTTCAACAAAATAAAATGTAATGCATCTGTAACATGCAATTCTATATATCCCTATGTGTCCAAATATGACATTTTAAAGACTTTAAGTAAGACAGATATAGCTACATCACATGCAGATGTTCCCTGGCCACTTGTCTTAATGGAGTACATATGGTGTGTGTTTGTGAGTGTGTCTGAATGTGTGTCCGCGTGTGTGATGTCATCGCAGCAGAGCATGTGCTTGTGTTTAAACCCAAATGATGTAATCCAATAAGAGAGAGAGTAGAAGCAGATGTGGGGGCCAACAGCAGTGACCTCACAGTGACCACACAGTGACCTCACAGCAGAACAGAACACAACAGAACACAACAGAACACAACACAACACAACAGAACACAACAGAACACAACACAACACAACACAACAGAACACAACAGAACATAACAGAACACAACAGAACAGAACAGAACAGAACAGAACACAACAGAACACAACAGAACATAACAGAACATAACAGAACACAACAGAACACAACAGAACATAACAGAACACAACAGAACACAACAGAACATAACATAACAGAACACAACAGAACACAACAGAACATAACAGAACAGAACACAACACAACAGAACACAACAGAACACAACAGAACACAACAGAACACAACACAACACAACAGAACACAACAGAAAACAACACAACACAACAGAACATGGTCAATTAGGACATGTGTGTGTCGGGGATGATGTTTCAGGTGGATCCAACAGGGTTTACAACAAACACACATCCTGACTTTCTCACGGTTACTAAATAAAGAACATTCTCGGCCACATTTTACCTTAGATAGGCCTTATGCTAGCTAGAGGAACAACTAGTGGGATAAGATAACTAGTGTTACGTTTAATCTCTTCCCCCTATGACAACAGTCTCACTCACCTTGTTCACGGGAGATGTTAGGCTTGTACCAGAACTTGGACGTATCCTGAACAAACTTTACATTTAGCCTGGTCTCTGGACTCCCGTCTAGGAGAAGGAATTAGAAGTAGTGTTGAAACCATGACATGTAGATTTACCTGGCATTTCCACAGTAACCAAAACCATTAGGTCATTTGATTTGACCATGTTAAAAAGGGCATGTTTATATGATACTGCGTGAATGCTGCATGTCACATTACATTGAATTGAGTCTTGGGGCTCTGTGATTGATTGATTTAACCTTTATTTAACCAGGTTAGTCTTGTTGAGATAAACATCTATTTTTCAAGAGAGACCTGGAACAAGACAGCAGCAGTGATGCTTCATGAGGATCATCCTGACCAAGACCCTCCGATCTAGAAATCAACTGGACTTCCAAACAACATTAACAGCTCCTTATTGTGTAGAGATTAGTGAATATGCGCTATTAGCGAGTTACCTCCTAGCGCCAACCCTCGCAAACAAGCCAGTATCTGTATCTGCGACCATATAAGTACTTGCTGGACTCTGCTGTCAGTATACTCAGTATAAGATGGAATGGAGCTTTGAAAAACCGCTGCAGACGCAAAAATGGCTGCCAACCAAGGCTCTGGGCCGGATGCCAGTTCTATCTCAGCCTAGCATCTGGGCCTGGCTGGGCTGCCTCAGAGTACATTAATTCACTTATCTGCTCTGCAATGTGTTTACAGACAGAAGTAAGTCCAACTGAGCTCCTGCTCAGCTAAAACCACTGGAGTATGACCGCATTCACGTTACCTCACTATACTTTACTAGAACTAATCACTTCATCTGGTTTCACTGAAAAACTAGTGTAGGAAAACAAATGGATTTACATTGTAGTTATGTAGTTAGGTACTAGTGTAATCATAGTTCAGGTATGCATTGGGTAACAATTTTCACAAAGATCTTATTTGTAGAAAAACCTCAATTGTGGCTAAACACATATCAAAAGTTATCCCTAAAAATATAGTTGATGAGTTTCATGTTAATTACCCATTTAAAAAAAAACATAGTCCTTGAAAATACACTGATCTTTACTTCCTGTTTGCTAGGGATGTCCGTGCTAGTTGGGGATGCTCTTTACTGCGTCAGTAGCTACGTTTTAAGAGTGTTTTCAAGGTGGTCTTACCAGTCATGTTAAACTTGGAGAAGTCCGGCAGTGTATGAAAGTAGCTAGTGCTGGGTGTGCTGCCTCCACTCGACATGGGGGAGGACACTTTCCCATTCAGCGTCCCGTACGAGAGCCCCCCGTTGGGCCTCTCCCCGCTCGACATGCGCCTCTTCTCCGGAAGCTGGGGCTGAGCCTGTGCCTGGGGGTCCGGACTGCCCTGCCTTACCCCCACCATCCCCCCGTCCAGGTAGCCCGCGGGGAAGACGGGGAAGGAGGGCGTGGAGGGCGGGTGGTACCCAGAGGAGCTGCTCTGACGGGACAGGGTTCCGTGTCTCTCGTCCGGGGTGGTGTAGCCACTACTATGCAGCATTGGGTGTCGGTCCAGACTCGGACTGCGTTGTGACATCTGGCCGAGGGACGGGTGTCGGCCCAGTACCGGACTACTACCCCTGCCCTGCTGGTGGGTGAGGGATGGCTGTCGGCTCAGCACCGGACTTCTCTGGACACTGGTCTGGATGGGTTGGCTGTAAGTGAGGGAGGGCTGGCGGCTGAGCACGGGGCTGTCCTGGGAGGCCTGCGTCAGAGACGGTTGTCGGCTCAGCACTGGGCTGGATTGTGTCCCCTGGGACACACATGGGTTATAGTGGTGGCGGCCCAACACGGGACTTCCTGTCATTACTATCCCAGGGATCCCAAACTCCACAATGCCATTGGCTGGAGAGGGCTGGTGGCCCATGACAGGATTGCACTGATTGGTGGGCTGGTGCCGATGTTGGAGGGAGGGGATGTTGGATGAGGTGTTGGGGTCACGATGCAGTGTGTGGAGACTTCCTGATACTGACGAGGGACGGACGGCCACAAGGCTTTCCCGGGCGGATACCTCCGGCTGGGGCTGGGGGGGGCTGGGGTCCGGGGAGAAGTAGCTCCCCATGGGGCCACTGGGACCCAGGTAGGAGGGTGTGGTGGTGGGGGAACACAGGTAGGACAGGCTGGGGGAGTTGGAGCTCCGGTAGGAGGAGGTGGGGGTTCCCAGGGCCTGGAGGTATGGGGTGGGAGTGGCAATGGGGGTAGGGGTGGGGAAGGGGATGGGATACGCGCCCTCGGAAGGAAAGGAGCGTAAGCCGGAATCAATGGCCGCTTGCGAGGGGATGCTCACACTGCTGTCAGCCAAGGGGTGTTCTCTGAGGGAGCGAGAGGAGGGGGGGACGACATTTCTGAAAACACCGTGTTTAGAAAGACGCCTACAGTAGAATTACCTAAATGCTGTATTAACACCTATGGGTCCCTTACTATCTGTAAACATGTAGTATATTTCAGGAACACTGGTTCCTTACCAATATCATGTAATGTAACCAGTGTATGTTTAATGTTGTTTGCTTCGTACTCACCCCTCTGATCTGTGGATGGGGCTGCTGCTAGACAGTAGGGGGTTGAGGGTTGGGGAGGGGTCCGGGGTCATCTGCCTAGCCAAGGTCTCTCCTGTGGAGGTGAGGGTCACGGGTGATCCTGCTGGTCCCCCGCCAGCCACAGCCGATCTGGCCACTGACTCCACATAGCTCAGTGGCTCTGAAGAGATACATAGTTGGCCATTAAGGCTGATTTCATTACAGTGTGTACAGTACTGTGTGAAGATGATGATGCTGGCTTCACAGGAAGGCTTTCCCCCCTAAACAGTGACAGTAGGTGTCCTTGTAAACACCTTGTAAACATGCCATCATTTTCCTTTTACATTTCAAACATTCTTTGTTTTCTCACCTACTGAATTCAGTATTAGTGAGTTGTTTGGAAATCAAGTCATCCTGTACTTTGGGTAAACAATCTTTAAACTCCTATGAATGGAACTAGAGTTTAGCAGTCCAGAGACCCTGAGAGGCAACAATGGGCTTCAGACTCATTCTATTATTCTTCATTCACTGAATTCATCATCAGAGTCACCCGCTGCAGCCAATCAACCTGACTGAGTCCATTCTGCATCATATTCACTGTTACCCCATCAGGAGCATGTCACCAGACCTGCTTGTACATAATGAAATACATGTTTTATTGCCCCCTCGACAGGCCAATGATGTTTACAAGAACCTATCAAGAGCACGGTCTGCTAGCTCTCAAACCCACATAACGTTGCATCGCAAAGACTAGAAAAATCTAGAAACTATTTGTGTTCCGTTGCTGTTCTGTTCTCTTCTGGAGAACCCACAATAATTACCCCATGGCACATACAGTGACTGAATGGAACAAGAGGTGTGGTGACAACAGCAAACACAACACTGAACAGAAAGAAATGGAGAAAAAGTGCATCATTGTGAAGTCTCAATTGTGAAGTAACACCTGAGATGGGTGGATGAAAGTTGGATGGGAGATGAGAAGTGTCCAGAAAAAAAAGAGTGAGAAAAAATAAGAGGTTTATGACAAGGATGCTCTCTGGGGAGTTCTGATTGATGATCAGGCGATGTTCTTAACTTCCTCACTCTTACTGCTCTCAGTGTCTGAGGCGACGTGAAGTGAAGGAAAGAGTCAAGAACAAGAAGAGCGAGAGAAAGAGAGGGAAGAAAGGAATGAGAAGGGAGGCAGAGGATGAGAAGAGAAAGTAAAGGGAGAAGAACTGGTTGATCACATTTTATTTGTCACGTGGTAAATAACAGGTGTAGACTAACAGTGAAATGTGCCCTTGAGCAAGGCATTTAACCCTGATTGCTCCTGTAAGTCGCTCTGGACAAGAGCGTCTGCTAAAATGACCAAAATGTTGGAAACAGTCAGCGCAGAAGGAACAACAAAGCAGAGGGGTCCGCATCTCGTGAGCCAAGTCAAACACCCCTCCCAGTAAGGATATCGTATTGCTCCAGCCCCTACTAGACAAACATAAAGGCCAAGAGGAGAGGATGAAAAAGAGGTTACAATTATATTTCTGGGGTCTCTCTCGCATTTAGCCTGTCGGCTGTGTAAATATGGGATTCAAAAGACTGGATTAACATGCGAAGGTGGACCATAAATCAAGCTTTCGTACACATTCCTAGGTCACTAAAATCAACCACAATATCACCACATATGAGACATAAACACTGTTCAATTTACCGTTGAGTAGTTTAACCGAGAAGGAGGGCTTGTACAACCAAAATGAAGAGGTGGATTATACAGCGAAGGGGGGTGTAGTTATAGTTTAAGGGGTAAACAGTAGACAGGCTCAATGACCTGTTGCTACACATGCTACTAGTATCTCAAACTAAAGCTAGTTCACTATGCTAACATTGGTGAGGCCTCAAGGGTCTAGCACTATGCTAACAGATGCTATGCTTACATGTTAGCACTATGCTATGTAAGTAGCACAATGCTATGCAGGCTCTAACAGGCTCTTCAACCCTATGAATGGAGCAATTCTATGCTAATAGAATAAATGGTGCTAACTCACCTGAGCCACTCTGGTTGAGGTGGATCTCGGCTGGGTTGTGGGGTTTGAGGCCCAAGGCAGAGAGAGGGGTCTTCATCAGACCTGGAGGGGAACGAGCTTGGCCTAGGAGGAAAAAAAAACATAACATACTTTAGCAACATGACTTAGCATAACTTAGCATTTAGCATGCTTCATTACAACAGTCTTGACAGTAAACACCTGTGCTTTTCGTGTTGTACCTCTGTGTGTGTGTGTGTGTGTGTGTGTGGGGGGGGGGGGGTGTGTGTGTGGGGTGTGTTTGCTGGTTTGTGTCTATGTAAGGTATGCAGCCTACATTTATTAAACTGTTAGAATCCTGAATTCCAAGACAGGTTGCTCATTGCTGAACGTGTTCTATGAGCTCATCATACGCCTCTTAAATAGGAACATAAAGGACTGGTTTCTCGGACCCAGAATAACCCTAGTCTTGGAATAAAAAGCATGCTCAATGGAGAACATCTTTTGAAAGTTATTTCTACTCCAGGACTAGGCTTAATCTGGGCCCAGGAAACCCAATGTGTGTGTTTACATATGGTGCGTACAGGTGATGAGCTGTCAAGACATCACAACAACGAAATGTGACACGGTGACACACAACAACATCGGTGATATCATGACGGACACAGCTAGAGGTGTGAGGGTTGTGCCCATGCCTCATGCTCTATGGGAGGGCCATGCAGGTCACCTATCACAGTGTGACCTATCACCTCTGAGTGACACTGTCACCACACACAAGGCAGGATGTGAGTAAAGGTGTGCCATGCACACAAATGCACAGCGGCTCTGAAGAGCGACAACACGGATACAAAAAAGAACAACAGTGACTCACTGACATGCAGTATGTATGAAAAGACAAGATAAGACAAGATAAGACAAGATAAGACAAGATAAGGCTGCTGGGGGAAAAGTTGCTGCCTACCAAAATGATGGCAAAAGGAATACATATATGACAACAGTCAAATGGAGCACCAGTACCCTTAGGACAGTGAGGTTGAGTTATTTAGAAAATATTTGTGTGTGTGTGTGCGTGTGTGTGCATATGTGTGTGCGTGTGTGTGTCTGTGTTCGTGTGTGTGTGTGTGTGTGTGTGTGTGCATATGTGTGTGTGCGTGTCTGTGTTCGTGTGTGTGTGTGAGTGAGTGAATGAGTGTTAGTGAATAAGTGTATGTTTCCTTAATGTGGTGTGGACCTCAAGTCCAGAAGGGGCTCCTTTGTCTTAAGAGGTACTGCTCTCCAGCGGCATGCTGGGTAAAGCAGTGCGGGAGGCTATGATAGGCAGAAGGGGAGAGCTGGTGGTCACTCCAGGGTCACTTAGCCTCGACCAAGATGGTCGACACCGTCAACAGTGGGACTAGGGACGTGCATCATCCTCCACTTACCAAATAATCCCAATCAATTCTTTGTTCTGTATGGCAACTTTAAATTCCCTACCTTTTGGTGGGTCGTGTTGGGAAAATGGGTATTGGTGGGGGGACGCTCTAAAGGTCTAGAGGTGAGAGGGGGCCGTGGATGTGCCGGTGATAGGGATCAGGGTAGCCCTAATCACTGGTCCAACATCAGCTTTCCGGACCCGTAATCATATTGAATGTGGGATGTATACTTGTGTAAAAGCATACTACTAGTAGATGCATTTAAGTGGATGCATACTTGACTTGAATCTTCTTACATTGAAAGAGATATCATACATCTTCATGGTTTAGCTAGGAAAAATAAGTACTCAATGGCTGTGCACATTGCGTTCCTGCTTTGCATGGAAGGTTGTGGGGGGGGGGGGGGGTAACACCTTTAAGGGCAGTAAAAAGGCTATAGGGTTTTTACGAGGCGTTTTTAGGGCTTTGCCCAGGGGGAGATGAGGTAACTGGTAGAGCTGGTCACTGACATGGTATTTAAAGGGACAGTTCACTCCATAATCATCACAGTGAAACGTTTCCTGACCTCAAAAGTAGTCGAATGCCAAGATAAATCCACAACTCAGGCTATTGTGTCTAGATCCAGCTCATTGCCTTAACCCAAATGAAAAGTCAGGCACAGAATAAAATCAAGAAATTAGACGGTGCCTATCTTTCATATTGAAGACTGGTGGAATCCCAGGATATGTTGATCTGTGGATGGCAGCATATTTCTAAGCCCACTGAATTACTGCCTAGAAGGCAGGAGAGGTGGGATTCTGTCTGATAGGATGACTCAGGCTTTTCTATGAGCCGAGACATTTACATTACATTTTAGTCATTTAGCAGACGCTCTTATCCAGAGCGACTTACAGTTAGTGAGTGCATACATCATTTTTTATACTGGCCCCCCATGGGAATCGAACCCACAACCCTAGCGTTGCAAACGCCATGCTCTACCAACTGAGCTACATCCCTGCCGGTCATTCCCTCCCCTACCCTGGACGACGCTGAGCCAATTGTGCGCCGCCCCATGGGTCTCCCGGTCGCGGCCTGCTACGACAGAGCCTGGATTCTAACCAGGATCTCTAGTGGCACAGCTAGCACTGCAATGCAGTGCCTTAGACCACTGCGCCACTCGGGAGACAATGGCAAACAGTGTGGCCTCTCAGACAGTGTGGCCTCTCAGACCGTGTGGCCTCTCAGACCGTGTGGCCTCTCAGACCGTGTGGCCTCTCAGACCGTGTGGCCTCTCAGACCGTGTGGCCTCTCAGACCGTGTGGCCACTCAGACCGTGTGGCCTCTCAGACCGTGTGGCATCTCAGACCGTGTGGCATCTCAGACCGTGTGGCCTCTCAGACCGTGTGGCATCTCAGACCGTGTGGCATCTCAGACCGTGTGGCATCTCAGACCGTGTGGCCTCTCAGACCGTGTGGCATCCCAGACCGTGTGGCCTCCCAGACCGTGTGGCCTCCCAGACCGTGTGGCCTCTCAGACCGTGTGGCATCTCAGACCGTGTGGTCTCTGTGGCCTTATTAGGATTTATCCTGCCTTCACTGCCTACTCAAATCTGTCTGAATGGGTTTGAAATAGATTTTGTCATGTGGGAAATGTAGTTAATTAGCCCTACATCTAAACAGGGTTGAATGCTGGGGGAATGGGAGAGGCAGTCTATTCTTTTTTGAGATGAAGAGGAACATTTTTATGATAGAAGAATTAAAACCAACCAGACAAAGCTAGACTAATTCCACCCTGAAGTTATTTATCATAATATCAGTTGTATAGTTTCTACATTGTGAACCTGTACATACCTGAATGCAACATGTCATTCTCATGATGTACTATAATAGCCTATACAGTTAGACTTTAGATTTAATGCTACTTCTTTCTGTAAGACATTTCTTTAGATGTTCACTATGGTAAACGCTGAACGTCTTTAAATATTCTCTATGGTAAAATCCCTGAGTTCCACAGCGCCATCAGCCAGCCAGAGGGGAGACTTACACAGGTTGAAGTAAGGGGTTTGCGGCGAGACAGGGAAGGCAGGGGTTTGGGGGAACACCTCACCACCAATAGTGGGCGTGGGGCTGACTGGGCCTCCATCCAACTCCTCAAAGGCCTCTCTGTAGCTGTGGATGTGTCTCTGGAGGGAGGGAAAACATGGAGATGCACACAGATACACACATATATTAGTATTCATTATGGTCATCACAACCCTATAATATATAATAATGAGACACACTAGAGAAGTTTAGGGCTAGGGGCGGAGCATTCTACCTCCTTGGGCCGCCCCCCGGGATTCAGCGCTATGGTGTTGACGAACTCCGGTGAGACGCAACGAATAGGGGAGCGGACCGGGGGTTCGTAGGAGGAGCTTTCGTTGTGGCCATTGATGCATTGTCCCTCGCTGGCGGTGCGGTGATGGGGCGGGGCCGATGCCTCGTCCAATGACGTCCCACAGGACTGGACACCTGCCAAGATCATTCAGGGGGGTCACATTTGATCACAACTCGCTCACATTGCACACAAGTGGTTTGTAAAAAAAATAAAAAATCTTTGCAAACACACATATCATTATCATGCTCTTGATAATGCAGCTCTTCACTGCAAAGCAGCAACGTTTCGCACAGCCATTAATCCACAGGAGCAACATAATAAGGACACAGTTACCAAGTAAGCGGTTAGAAACGGCAAAGCTGACCTTTCAAAATGCTACTTGATGTTGAACACTCGGATCAGAACTTTTCTCACTACAATCAGGCACTGCTTATAAGAGCTCTGGGTTGTTCAGTGGGAAACAGTGTGTATCAATTGATCTGCTTATAAGAGCTCTGGGTTGTTCAGTGGGGAACAGTATGGATCAATGTTCTCCTTGAAAGCCACAAGATTATCAGGAATTCGCTGGTACATCAGTGAAACAGTCTAAATTTGTAATTCTTGTTATCTGGGTAATGGTCTGTGGCAGTAGCTAACGTTTTGGATGAACCTCAAAGGGTCCAGTAAGCTAATTTCAGTGGGTGGGTTTGGAGGGAAGGAGAGAGCTGCCAGTGTAAAACAAACAGGATTTCTGTAAGAGCGTTATCCTAATGTGTTAGTTACTGCATGGTCGGGTGGGGTACTGGAGTTGGTTTTGCTGAAAACAGGTTGTGACTATGGGAAGCGAACAGCCGGCTTTGCAGGGCTATGTGCAGTTTGGAAAGGAAAAGGGAGGGGGAAAATCTAAACAGACACAATATGTGGAGGGAATGTTTTTGTAGGGAACTTTTAGAGAAAACTTGTTTTTGTTCATTCGTTGCCAGAGACGTTAGGTTAACGTAAGCATGCCACGCATTGTATGTTTTGTATCAAATCCAGCTTTTCCTAAAGATATGTTAAACGTTTCCCTGGGTTCTTTAAGTTTAGGGTAAAGATTATTCTCTTTGTGAGTCATTGGAAAATTGCGCATAAACACCTCCATTGCTTTTTCGTCCAGGTTTTACGCAATGTACTCTGTAGCTAGCACTGACTGTCTGCAAACAAACTATCCATCTGATTCATGGATTCTCCTGGCTTGAAGTTCTGACATACCCTCCCAAAGATGGAAAAGCATGCAAACACACCCTAGTGCGAGAGTCGACTGTTATGGAAACCGTGAAAAAAATATTTACGAGCCCTAGCTCAGCCTCTGGCTGGATAAGCCAGCCGATATATCCACAGGGGGAGAGTTAGCGATAGCATTAGCCTGCAGCTGTGGGAAACTAAGAGGCTTATAGTTACTGTCAGAATAGATCTGGCCTCTTTGGTCACATAAGAGTCAGACATTCCTTATGTGTTTGGGTACCCCAAATCATATTCATGACTCTGAGGAAACATCTCCTATTACACAACCTTAAACTGAATGACAAAAGCTACACAGGGGTTTTTGGAGGGAGAAAAGTGATATCAAAGGATAGCGGTCTTCTAAGAGGCAAACTAACTTTCTGTCTGTCTAGTGCACAACACTGTATACACATCAACAGAAATATAGTGTACATCTTATAGTGTACATCTTCACATACATCTTATATTTTTGCACATTGGCAGTTTGAAGTGACTAAATCTTATATTTTTGCATATCTGATTCAAATCTGTTATTTTTGCTGCAGTCTGAATAGCCCAAAATCCACATTTCAAATCACCTTTGTAAGTGATTTGAAAATCAGATACAAATCTGATTTATGGCCATCCGACTTGTGTCTGTATGGTCAAATCTGATGTATTTGCCCACAAGTGGTTTTTAGACTGTTATTCGGCATATCTTGTCTCTTGCTAGCTACTCTTTTGACAGTTTGTCAAGAACATGTAGTAAGTAACTAGGTTGTTTACAAACAAATTAGTGAATGTGCTAGAAAGCTCTAAAAAGTTGGATAATCTTATCCTTTGAGGCTTTAAAAGTGTTCCTGCACTATGATTTTGAACATTCAAAGCAACTGGTAAACGTCCATGGCAGACATTGTCGTCATTTTAGCTTGCTACATAACTTCTGAGTGACAGGAAGCAGGAGCTCCACCACCAATCAGCCTACACCACTGCACACACACCCGTTGTTACTATAACAACTAGCGTAGCCATGTCAGCAAATGACTGCTGTCTGAACACACAAAAAATCCTATTTGGTCACTTTTAACTTGCTGTTTGGACAGTCAGTGTTCCGAAATGGATTTGAAAAACCAAACTGATTTGACCATTAAGGCGTGCAGTGTGAACAAGGCTTAATTGTATTTTGTTGGAACACAATTTGCTGCATACCTAAACAGTACCATGATAAGATCTAAGTGTAGGCCTAAAACACCAAAACCTGCACACATGCAATTCATATGCCCATCGATTTATTTCATGATTTGCCTGCAATGGCACGGCTTAAGTAGTGTCACATGTCTAGGCTGAACTCAGATTTTGATTTGTGGATCGAGGAGGGGCATTGTTAGATACATCACAACCCAACGGTCCTGGAATCACGCAAAACAGATGGGCCCAGTATGCACAGCGGAGCCTGTCAAACACTGTGCCGTTGCCCTGGCGACGGCTAATAGCTTCCAGCTGTTACAGAAGAGATTCCCAGGATATATTTGGGGAATTGTCTCCCCCCCCCCCCCCCCCCCCCTCGTTTCTCAACCATATAAACACAGATATTGTATTGAATAAAATGGATCCAAGGCATAGGAAATGGGATAATCTATTTTATGAGGCCAGGGCTAGAGCTCTCTTCATCTCCCTCCACCGCTCTGTGAATATGCTCTTGTCATGTTATAGTGAGGAAGGGTTATCTGGGGTAAAATGAAGGAGAATTCCCTTCAAAGTAATGTATTGAATAGATTGGAAGCATATCTATGTACTGTATGTATTCAAATACCCAAACAAAGTGCTTTTCTTCCTGTAGACCAGGTCTGACCCCATTCTAAACGTTCTCCACTGGGGATGTTTGCTCTACTCATGCTATACCTACGCTCCAAGTCCTGAGCTGAAACCCCCCCCCCCCCCCCCCAGAACAGCCTCAATTCGTCGAGGGCAGTGTGTGTCGAATGCGTTCCACAGGGATGCTGGCCAATGTTGACTCCAACGCTTCCCACAGTTGTGTCAAGTTGGCTGGATGTCCTTTGGGTGGTGGACCATTCTTTATACACACAGGAAACCCAGAAGCATTGCAGTTCTTGACACAAAGGCACTTAAATCTTTTGTCTTACCCATTCACCCTCTGAATGACATACATACACAATCCATGTCTAAATTGTCTCAAGGCTTAAAAATCCTTCTTTAACATGTCTCCTCCCCTTCATCTATACTGATTGAAGTGGATTTAACAAGTAACATCAATAAGGGATCATAGCTTTCACCTGGTCAGTCTATGTCATGGAAAGAGCAGGTGTTCTTAATGTTTTGTATACTCAGTGTAAATAGAATGTATGTAGTCATTCATTACAGTCCTTGTACTCCAAGGACTACTCTGGCTTTGCGGAGTACAGTACCGTACAGTACTCTGTAGACCACTCCAGGCCCCTGAAATAACAAAACAGTGCATCCTATTCTACCTCTACCAATGGACAGATAAGGCCTTCACAATGTTTTCAAAAAGGCAGTCTAAAGCAGTCTTCCCCATAGAATTAGTGCCCTTTGCTAGCGATGGAAATGTTAAAAACAGAAGATGGAAAGAGCAGCCTTGAAAGAGGCCAGTGTTTCCTGGCCTTGGGTATTGTTCCCTGGCGGTATCTTGTGACATGCGCTCTACTGCGAGTCTGCACAGAGACACCTTTGTGCTTCCTCATCTCGTTCTTCTGAAACTTAAACATTATCCAAATGCTTTTTTGGGGTTGGGTCAATGCCTTAACCTTGAGAAATAAAAATCTAACAGAGATGAAGGACGGTGTATTGAGAGACAAGACACACAGAGAGAGAGAGAGAGAGAGAGAGAGAAGAGAGAGAGGAGAGAGAGAATAGAGAGAAGAGAGAAGAGGATATATTATCGATAGATCTCTGCGACTATCTAAGCGCTCGATCGCTAGAGATAGGATTAATGAGCGCGCTATGATCCCTCCGCTCTCTCTGCTCTCTGTCCTCTCTCTCTCGCTCGCTCTCTCTCTCTCTTCTCTCTCGCTTCTCTCTCTCTCTCTCTCTTTCGTCTCTCGCTCTCTCGTACTCTCTCGCTCTCGCTCTCCTCTCGCGCCGCTTCCTCTCTCTCCCCCACCGCCCGCTAGCTTTCTCCTTCGCCCAAACGTTGCGGCAGAGATGTTTAGAAAAGGATAAAACAGGAAGCAACAAATGCAAACAGCAAACTAGCAGGCAGTGTCATGGAAAGACAGTCAGCAAGGTTTGTTTAGAAGAGGAGTCAGTTTAATGGAAAGACAGTCAGCAAGGTTAATTTAGAAGAGGAGTCAGTGTCATGGAAAGACAGTCAGCAAGGTTCGTTTAGAAGAGGAGTCAGTGGCAGGGAAAGACAGTCAGCAAGGTTCGTTTAGAAGAGGAGTCAGTGCCATGGAAAGACAGTCAGCAAGGTTCGTTTAGAAGAGGAGTCAGTGCCATGGAAAGACAGTCAGCAAGGTTCATTTAGAAGAGGAGTCAGTGGCAGGGAAAGACAGGGGAGGAGTGGAGGAGGGGAACGAACCAGAGAGGGAGCGACGGTGCTCAGACCGAGGAGACGCGAGTCGGCCTTGCATTCGGGCCGAGTACTCTGGTTAGAGCAGGGGTATAATTGGAGTCGGCAGAAGAATGAGGAGGAGGAAGATGATGAAGAGGAGGGAGAATGAGGGAGAGGTAGAGAGATGAAGAGATGGTCAACAGAAAGGAAAACATTCAAAGAAAAGTTATTTGCTAGTTAATAAAAACGTACAGAATTACAATCATAATATGACAGAAATGTCAAACATCTATGAGAAAAATTACTGACATGATCAGTGAGTATCAGTGAATCTGTCAGTAATATAACCAACAAGTGGACGTGTCACATATGTTTCAGTGGACATCTGCCTGTACATGTGGACGAAGTGGGCTTGTACAGTGAGGGAAAAAAGTATTTGATCCCCTGCTGATTTTGTACGTTTGCCCACTGACAAAGACATGATCAGTCTATAATTTCAATGGTAGTTTTATTTGAACAGTGAGAGAAAGAATAACAACAAAAAAATCCAGAAAAACACATGTAAAATGTTTTATACATTGATTTGCATTTTAATGAGGGAAATAAGTATTTGACCCCTCTGCAAAACATGACTTAGTACTTGGTGGCAAAACCCTTGTTGGCAATGACAGAGGTCAGATGTTTCTTGTCGTTGGCCACCAGGTTTGCACACATTTCAGGAGGGATTTTGTTCCACTCCTCTTTGCAGATCTTCTCCAAGTCATTAAGGTTTTGAGGCTGACGTTTGGCAACTCGAACCTTCAGCTCCCTCCACAGATTTTCTGGGATTAAGGTCTGGAGACTGGCTAGGCCACTCCAGGACCATAATGTGATTCTTCTTGAGCCACTCCTTTGTTGCCTTGGCCGTGTGTTTTGGGTCATTGTCATGCTGGAATACCCATCCACGACCCATTTTCAATGCCCTGGCTGAGGGAAGGAGGTTCTCACCCAAGATTTGACGGTACATGGCCCCGTCCATCGTCCCATTGCGATGAAGTTGTCCTGTTCCCTTAGCAGAAAAACACCCCCAAAGCATAATGTTTCCACCTCCATGTTTGACGGTGGGGATGGTGCCTTGGGGTCATAGGCAGCATTCCTCCTCCTCCAAACATGGCGAGATGAGTTGATGCCAAAGAGCTCGATTTTGGTCTCATCTGACCACAACACTTTCACCCAGTTCTCCTCTGAATCATTCAGATGTTCATTGGCAAACTTCAGATGGCCCTGTATATGTGCTTTCTTGAGCAGGGGGACCTTGCAGGCGCTGCAGGATTTCAGTCCTTCACGGCGTAGTGTGTTACCAATTGTTTTCTTGGTGACTATGGTCCCAGCTGCCTTGAGATCATTGACAAGATCCTCCTGTGTAGTTCTGGGCTGATTCCTCACCGTTCTCATGATCATTGCAACTCCACGAGGTGAGATCTTGCATGGAGCCCCAGGCCGAGGGAGATTGACAGTTCTTTTGTGTTTCTTCTGTTTCACCTTCTCACCAAGCTGCTTGGCGATGGTCTTGTAGCCCATTCCAGCCTTGTGTAGGTCTACAATCTTGTCCCTGACATCCTTGGAGAGCTCTTTGGTCTTGGCCATGGTGGAGAGTTTGGAATCTGATTGATTGATTGCTTCTGTGGACAGGTGTCTTTTATACAGGTAACGAGCTGAGGTTAGGAGCACTTGAGTGTGCTCCTAACCTCAGCTCGTTACCTGTATAAAAGACACCTGGGAGCCAGAAATCTTTCTGATTGAGAGGGGGTGAAATACTTATTTCCCTCATTAAAATGCAAATCAATTTATAACATTTTTGACATGCGTTTTTCTGGATTTTTTTGTTGTTATTCTGTCTCTCACTGTTCAAATAAACCTACCATTAAAATTATAGACTGATCATTTCTTTGTCAGTGGGCAAACGTACAAAATCAGCAGGGGATCAAATACTTTTTCCCCTCACTGTATACCCTGAAAACTAAATGATGTCATAAGGAAAGTCTACTATCAGTGTCTTTGAGCCGTCCAACCAGAGAAACAAAGTGGCTGTGTGATAACTGAACATACTCTCCTTCATTTACCTAATTTTACAGTAAAGTGTGTTGCAATTTCGAATGCACTATAAATAAAGTTTGATTAGACCTGTGTATAAAACCACCATAATACTATCACTGTCTGGCCATAATGGTGTTTCACCGACACTCATCATTTCAGAATCAAGAAGATGCATTAATGCTTTCTATTCTATTCTATTCAACTCCATTACTGTAACAGTCTCTGTCTTACAGTTGAATCAGAGCTGTCCCTTCACAGGTTAGCAATACGTTTCCGTGTCACTAGTCTGTGTTGGTTTTACGGCAGGTTTCCACACTGCAGAACTGTGTTCGGTTAAGACAGCGAACTTGCTCCGAACATGGGCTGTTCTCCCGGAAAAGGGTTGGCCACCCAGACAAAATACATAAAAATGGTTACATTATGTCACTGACAGTTTACCCTTGTCAATGTGTGTCTTATTAAGAGCCGTAGCACTGGGCCGTAGCATTGTTTGTACAATGGCTTCATTGTGACCTCACAGGACTCATATCAACACTAACGCGGTGCATCAAGAAGACAGAGCTTCCAGACAGGAAAAGTCAAGCTGACCTCCCATTGGATATTCTGAGGGTTACTCTGGGAATGTTACTCTGGGGTTTTTACAGATACATGTTGTACCGAGAGATGTTTTCTGTTCATCTCTGTGCAGAAAAAAAAAAAAGTGAAAAGGAAAGAAAGTGTAATGTTCTCTGTTAGTGTTTCATACATATTAATGACAGTTTTTTGTTTATCTCTTTTAACACGCTAATGTGTCCTCAACTTGAGTATCACCTTCCTGTTTCCTTTGTATATGAAATCACACCTATATGCCAATGACAACACATGATCTCTGCAGTCTTACCTGCCACACACTGGGCTACCAGGCCCTCCACATGGAGCACTTCATCAGGCTCTGCATCTCTCGGCTTGGGAGATGAGGAGGTGGCACTGCGGCTCTGTTGGGGCTCCTGGAGCTCCGGGGACAGGGGCAGGGACATTGTGCTGGCGGGGTACATGTTGACGGGTTTCAGCTGCAGCAGGCCCCCGCTAGTGGGGACCTGGGTGGGAGAGCTGGTCCTGGCTGCCCCTTGGCTGGAAGGTTCAGTGGGGAAGCCTGGCACGGGGGCTACAGGGGGACTAGGCTGGTAGATAGCTGCTGGTCTCTGGATGGCAGAGGGCTCTGGTGACGTGGACGGCTGGAAGGGGGAGGACCTCAGCGTGACCTGGGCTAGGCTGGGACGCAGGGCTTCCCGAGATAGCTGAGTCAGCCTGGTAGGAGGGTCTTGCCTGGGTCTGGGAGAAGGACGGTTGCGTGGTCACCACCACCTTGTTCTCCCCCGGGGCACTCTGGGACTTCGGCACCTGCCCCAATGGGCGGCCGGGGTCCAGTTCCATCATCAGCAGGTTGAGGGCCTCAATGGACTGCTCAATCTCCTGCTGTGAGGCAGTCTGCTGGTGGGGGTACTGGGGCATGCTGTGGTGGCTCTGTAGAGGCATGGAGGGAGGAGGAGAGCCAAAATACACCCCGTCCATCACCGGCTCTTCTGGGACGCCATATTGCTGCCACACGTTGAGCCCACGTTGGACGGCGTTACGACTGCTGGTGGTGCGTGCTGGCGCTCGGGGGAGGGGATTCTGCTCTGCACCGAATGACTGTGAGCGATACAGGTTTCCATTCTGGCTGATAATGTAATCGCTCGCCGGGGGAACTGACTCACCTGTCCCATCCTGAGCTGAGCAGAGGCTTTGCACCAAGGTGATGGGAACCTGTGCAGCCACATCATGTAAGCCTATTGCGACATTGAAGGCAACATTTTCCGGGGGCCCATCTGGGATGCTCCTCTCCAGATAGGGAACCTTGTCCTGCCCGTTGATAACGGTCTCAGTCTGGTAATAGAGGTCTGCTGGCGTGGCTCTCCCTTCCAGGGATGACAGAGTGCCCAGGCTATCCACGCTGTTACCCTCCTGACTGGTGGGCAGTTCCACCTCGTCATCCAGAATATCTGTTTCTCTGTCCATGCTGCTGTTGTGGCCATTCACGTGAACTTGGGCGGGCACCAGGTGAAGTAGTCCCCCTCCCCCTATCCCCATCCCTCCGCCCGACAGGTAGCCCTGGCAATGCATGGGGCCCTCCAGGCCACTGAGCAGCTGCTCCAGCTCCTGCTTCTCCTGGGGACTGATGGGCTGGACGGCCAGGACCGTGCCCGAGACCAGGGTCTCTTCCTGGGCCGCTGGCGGCTGGCTCACTGGGGGGGCTGCCTGGAGGACTGCTGCTGTCGGGGCTGGCTCATCAGTGCGGTCAGTCTTAATGGAGGCCGTGGAGTTGCCGGAGTCGCTGCTCACCGACAGGCCGTGGTCGACCGTGGGAAGGACGTGTTCGGTGGCGGCGGGCAGGAGGCCGTTGGCAGTGACCGCGCCCTCGATGGACTCCTTCTTGCGGACTTTAGCGTAGGGGCTGCCGTCCAGAGGGCCCTGCGTGTGTATGACGTCTGGGGAGAGAAAGACATGGGGAGGGGGTGGTTACAAAGAGGTGAATAACACTGTACAGTATTTTGATTTAACTAGGCAAGTCAATTAAGAACAAATTCTTATTTACAATGACAGCCTACCAAGAGGCAAAAGGCCTCCTGCGGGGACGGGGGCTGGGATTAGAAATAAAAATATAAGACAAAACACACATCACGTCAAGAGAGACACCACAACACTACATAAAGAGAGACCTAAGACAACACCACAGCATGACAGCAACACATGACAACACAGCATGATAGCAACACAACATGACAACAACACGGTAGCAACACAACATGGCAGCAGCACAACATGGTAGCAACACAAGACATGGTACAAACATTATTGGGCACAGACAACAGCACAAAGGGCAGGAAGGTAGAGACAACAATACATAATGCGAAGCAGCCACAACTGTCAGTAAGATTGTCCATGATTGAGTCTTTGAATGAAGAGATGGAGATAAAACTGTCCAGTTTGAGTGTTTTTTGCAGCTCGTCCCAGTCGCTAGCTGCAGTGAACTGAAAAGAGAAGCGACCCAGTGATGTGGGGACCTTTAACACAAGGTGACTGGCAGAACAGGATGAGGGGTGCAGTATATCATGTACAATGGTTAACATTTAATGCACTGTAAGTTATTCAAACGTTTTTGGACATTTTGGTATAGTGAATATCATGATTTTTCAGCAACACAGACCTGTAATACTGATAAAGCAACTAAATCCAGTAGAATGAAACAGAGGGAAGAGGGAGAAGAGAAGGCAAAAGACGAGAGGAAGTAGGAAGTAGGAATTGTAATTTCTCAGTGTGCAGGCGATGCCAAAACAGCTGCTGTTGAACTGAGTACTGGCCCACTTCTGCCTCTCTCTGACAGGAAATAAGAATGGTATGTGCTGTAATATGAAAACTGCACTCACTAACTGTAAGTCGCTCTGGATAAGCGTCTGCTAAATGACTAAAAATGTCAAATGTAATAAGAATATTATAGTAAGTATAATAAGAATGGTATAATAAGAATGGTATGTGCTGTGGAAAAAGGGATGAAATCACACTTTATCAAGTCAATGACACTAATTACCGCCACCTGAAAAGCATTGGCCTTTAAGAAATTAGTGAGGGAGTATGTTTTATGTGTTTGTATACAGAGTATCCTGTGTATGATCTATGTATCAGTTCTGAAGGAATAAAACTGGACTGACTGCTGACGATTGAGGTACACTACATGGCTCTTAAAATTAGTGGATTTAGCTATTTCAGCCACACCCGTTGCTGACAGGTGTATCAAATCGAGCACACAGCCATGCATCCTCTATAGACAAACATTGGCAGTAGAATGGCCCATACTGAAGAGCTCATTGACTTTCAACATGGCACAGTCATAGGATGCCACCTTTCCAACAAGTCAGTTTGTCAGATTTCTGCCCTGCTAGAGCTGCCCCGGTCAACTGTAAGTGCTGTTATTGTGAAGTGGAATCATCTAGGTGTCACGCACGTTGAGAGATGGGTCGGACCAAGGAGCAGCGTGAAAAGCGTACATGTTTATTATCTAGAGTAAACATACAAAACAACAAAACCACGTAACGTGACGTGAAAGTCCTATGGGCTATACAACAACCAGCCTGCACGGAACAAGATCCCACAAACAAGGACTGCAACCAGGCTACTTAAGTATGATCCCCAATCAGAGACAACGAGCGACTGCTGCCTCTGATTGGGAATCATACCCGGCCAAACACAGACGTATAACAACTAGACTCTAAACATAGATATACAAAAACCTAGAACTAAACATGCACACCCTGACCAAACTAACTAGAGTTATATAGGTCAGGGCGTGACACTAGGAGCAACAACGGCTCAGCCGCGAAGTGGTAGGCCACACAAGCTCATAGAATGGGACCGCAGGGTGCTGAAGCACGTAGCGAGTAAAAATCGTCTGTCCTCGGTTGCAACACTCACTACCCAGTTCTAAACTGCCTCTGGAAGCAACGTCAGCACAAGAACTGTTCGTCTGGAGCTTCATTAAATGGGTTTCCATGGCTGAGCAGCCGCACACAAGCATAAGATCACCATGCACAATGCCAAGCGTCGGCTTGGACTCTGGAGCAGTTCTCTGGAGTGATGAATCACGCTTCACCATCTGGGTTTGGCGGATGCCAGGAGAACGCTACCTGCCCCAATGCATAGTGCAAACTGTAAAGTTTGGTGGAGAAGGAATAATGGTCTGGGGATGTTTTTATCATGGGTCGGGTTAGGCCCCTTAGTTCCAGTGAAGGGAAATCTTAACACTAAAGCATACAATGACATTCTAGACAATTCTGTGCTTCCAACTTTGTGGCAACAGTTTGGGGAAGGCCTTTCCTGTTCAGCATGACAATGCCCCCGTGCACAAAGCGAGGTCTATACAGAAAATGTGTCGAGTTCGTGTGGAAGAACTTGACTGGCCTGCACAGAGCCCTGACCTCAACCCCATCAAACACCTTTGGGATGAATTGGAACGCCGACTGCGAGCCAGGCCTAATCGCCCAACATCAGTGCCCGACCTCACTAATGCTCTTGTGACTGAATGGAAGCAAGTCTCCACAGCAATGTTCCAACATCTAGTGGAAAGCCAGAAGAGTGGAGGCTGTTATAGCAGCAAAGGGGGGGACCAACTCCATATTAATGCCCATGATTGATTTTGGAATCAGATGTTCGACGAGCAGGTGTCCACATACTTTAAACATTCACCCACACACGCATGAGCCATGGTGGAAAAAAACTACCTCACTAGGTAAATAAGCCCTGAAGGCATTTCCTGTCCCCTTGGAATAGAAGCAAAACATTTCAGACCAAAAACACACACAAAAAAGACAAACAATTGTAAAAATCAAAATTACGCCAATTATTACAATTATGAATTACACCTTTCACTATTGTGCAAATGGACAAACACACACGTGCACAAACGCACACAGACACACACACACACCTTATAGTATTCCCATATCATCCTTGTGGTCATGTGCTGTCAAGGGGAATGATGACCAGTGGCAAGCTGCTCTTGATGTAAGGACGACTTAGCAGCTGGCTCTATGCAGCATGGCCTTTAAACTGCCCTGCCATGCACGCTCACATTGGAAACCGCAATAACCACATACTTAGATTTAGCCTCTCCTGGAGGAGGACAACGGATGTTGAATGTTTATTTTTATTTTTTAAGCAGCTTTACAGCCTCCATCAGAGGGCATGAAGTGAGCATTGACAAAAATATACTGTATATAAAAGATACTGTATATAAAATGTCCTGTATATAAAAGATACTTTATATAAAATATACTGTATATAAAAGATACTGTATATAAAATATACTGTATATATATATAAATGATACTGTATATCAAAGATACTGTATATAAAATATACATCTGATCAAGCTTCCAACTCCTCACCCCACACAGTTCCCATGAAGCTGTACAGTAAATCAAAGCATGTTTGAAACAGCAGTGTGTGTTGTGTGCGTGTGTGTTGTGTGCGTGTGTGTTGCGTGTGTGTTGTGTGTCTGTGTTGCGTGTGTCTTCTGTGGGTGTGTGTGTGTGTGTGTGTTTGTGTGTGTGTGCTCTGAGATACCCCCTGATGTACTAATCAGATTGTACATTTGGGAACAGCAGTGTGTGTTGTGTGTGTGTGTGTGTGTGTGTGTGTGTGTGTGTGTGTGTGTGTGTGTGTGTGTGTGTGTGTGTGTGTGTGTGTGTGTGTGTGTGTGCTCTGAGATACCTCCTGATGTACTAATCAGATTGTACATTTGAAAACAGCAGTGCACAAATAGTGTGCCTTTAAAAAAAAAGTATACATCACAAGCCTTCAGAAAACCTTCTGTGACTTAGAACGCTAGTAGTCCATAAACTGGCTCTGTTGTTGTTGTTGTTGTTGTTGTTGTTTAGCTTATCTGTGAGGTTATTTAACCTTATGTTTGTTTCCTTTAACAGATTCTAGATCCTCCTCTCCCCAATCCTAACCTTAAATATTAGTGGTGTGAGGAAACATCTGACCCTGTATCAGTGGTTAAGGGCAATGTGACACTCTGGCTCTATGGACTTTGAGAATTGAGCCAGGGTTGTTCATTTTCATGTGTTTGGGTGTATTTCATTTGGTGGTGTTGGGGATGGGTGAGTTTCATTTTGTTTGTGTCTATGTTGATTGGTCTATGACTCCCAATCGGAGGTAACGAGTGTCAGCTGTCGGCTCGTTATCTCTGATTGGGAGCCATATATATTCTGTGTGTTTTCTCCTTTGTTTTGTGGGTTATTGTTTCTGTGTTGTTGTTAGTGTGTTTCAGTATAGAACTTCACGTATCGTCTTTTGTTGTTTTTCGTGGTTTCTTTGGATTAATAAAGTCATCATGTTCACTCGCAACGCTGCGCATTGGTCCAATCCTTCAGACGATCGTGACAGAATAACCCACCACAAAAGGACCAAGCAGCGTAACAAGCGGCAACAGGACCTACCTACACAGGAGTTATGGACGCCTCCTAAGGTCGGGACATGGGAAGAGTTATTGGACGGAAAGGATCCTTGGGCACAACCGGGAGAATATCGCCTCCCTCGTGAAGAGCTGGAGGCAGCCAAAGCCGAGAGGAGGTGGTACGAGGAGGCAGCGCGAAGGCGAGGCTGGAAGCCCGTGGAAGAGAGGCAACCCCAATAAATTTTTTGGGGGGGGCACATGGCTTGGGCAGCTGGGCAGCAGGAGGCTGCCACAGGGAGAAAAGGAGAGAAGGCTAACGGAGTACGGGAGCCATTGGCGAGTGGAAGGAGGGAAGTTGTTGTGGCACGGCATGAGAGACTGAAGTGTGTTACCAGTCCGGTCCGGCCCGTTCCTGATCCGCAGTTAAGGCCATTGGTGTGTGTTCCCGGTATGGACCGGCCTGTTCCTACTCCACGCACCAGGTCCACGATGTGCGTCGCCAGCCGGCCAGAGTCTG